CTATTGAAGAGAAACTACTCTTAAGGTTATTAATAGTGTAATGTTGTGTATTCAATGCTAAAGGTATAGAAGAGGAAGATTTAAGCCTTTATAGGATTTGAAATTCATGTGTGACTTACATAGGCTGAGGAGTATAGCTCAAGGTGAGAGGATCTGCTTAGCAAGAACACAAGGCCCTGAGTTCAAAACTAATTACTGACAAAAAGAAAAAAAAGGAGTGGATTATAAATTAGAAATAAAGTATTGAGTCAAGTTTAGAAGGAGTCATTTTCTGTTTCTTTTTGTGCCCTGTGTAACTTTGTTTAATGTACAAAGTGTTTGTTGTTATTTTATTATTTTAGTGCTTGTGTTTGAATGCAAGGTCTCCAGGTATACCCCATCCACGCTAATATTTTAAATTCAGTAATATTTATTCAGTTTTTATTTATTTATTTAGTTTGGTTGTGAGGGCCTGGGCTCTGTCCCTGAGCTCTTTTGCTCAAGGCTAGAACCCTACCACTTTGAACCATAGCTCCACTTCTGATTTTGAGTGGTTAATTGGAGATCAGAGTCTCAAAGGGACTTTTCTGCTCTGGCTTGCTTTGAACCATTATCTTAATATCTCAGGCTCCTGAGTGGCTAGGATTATAGACTTGAGTCCAACTTGCTATATTTATTGTTTTTATTTTGAATTTCACAATGTTGAGGATCCAGCCTCAGGCCACATTGAAAGTGCTCTCTCACTGACCTATATTCCCAGCCCATTTCAGTATTATTAAGACGATCCTTTGTGTGCGCATGTATGGGTGCTTGTGTGTGTATGTTTTTTCTAACAAGAATCACTTTGTATATAGAGCTACTATCTAATTGTGAGTATTTTTACTCATAGTTTTGAGAAAGCACTGTCGTTAGTCATCTGACATGATTTCATGTTAGTCATCTAAAGTTTACACATTTACACATGTTGTCAAATATAAGGGGTCTTTTCCATTTACCTTGTAGAATTATTATGAGGACTAAAGTATTTCATAGTTTGTAATTTTCATTCATAAAGAAGCTAAAATCAGCAAATGTCAAGAAGGGGAACTCTACCTCTTGGCAGAGAAAGGAAATGTCTCAAGAATTCATGGTGTTTTACCAACTTTAGTTCTATCCTCTTCCTTCACTCTGCTAGAAAACAAAAACGTTGCTAGCCAAGTACTGGTAGCTAATGTCTATAATACTAGATACTCAAAATACTGAGATCTGAGGACTGTGGTTTAAGGTCAGCCCAGTCAGGAAAGTCCTTGAGACTTTTTTTTTGTCATTCATGGGACCTGAACTCTGGGCCTGTCCCTCAGCTCTTAAGCTCACCTCTAGTGTTCTTCCACTTGAGCCACAGAGCCACAGAACCACTTCCGGCTTTTTCTGTTTATGTGGTGCTCCTCAGCACTCGAGCCCATGGCCTCATGCATGCAAGGCAAGCACTGTACCACTGAGCTACCTTCCAGTCCACCTTGGGACTATTATCTCCAGTTAACTACTCAAAACCAGAAGGGGAGCTGTGACTCAGAGTGGTAGAGAGCTACCCTGTGCAAAATTGCTCAGGGACAGGGCCCTGGTCCTGAGTTCAAGCCTTGAGCAAAACAGATCAGGGACAACCCCCATGTTTTGAGTTCTATCTGCCTGACTGACCAAAAGACAAACAAAAACAACAACAAAAAAAGGCCCAGTAAACATTGCCACCAAGAACAGGCCTACTAAGTTCCTTAAGTTCCATACCCTTGTTTAACTGAATCACCATGAGAAGCCCAAAACAAACAGGTCATTTCTCATCCTTATACTCTATTCTTGTGTCATTCACTTTTCAAAAGTTTGCCTTAGCCTAATCCATTGTTTATGCTGACTCCTGAAACCTTTGACTGTCTTCCTCTTTTTTTTTGGGTCTGGTCATGGGGCCTGAACTCTGGGCCTGGGCACTGGTCCCTCAGCTCTTCAGCTCAAGGCTGGCACTCTACCACTTGAGCCACAGCGCCACTTCTGGCTTTTTTTCTGCTTATGTGGTGCTGAGGAATCCAACCCAGGGCCTCAGGCTTGCTAGGCAAGCGCTCTACCACAGAGCCATCTTCCCAGCCCAGCCTGTGTATTTTCTTATTTCTTCTTTCTCATCTCCTTGTCTACTACATTCCTGTCTTTTCTGTTTCAAAGATCTGTCTATATTTTCCTGTTTGGGTAAGAACAAATGAGTGGACTATTCAATTCATAATGAAGATTATTTTATAGGTAATTCAGTGAGAAAAACAGAATTTTATAGCATATAAAGACTTGAGAATATAAAATTCTACATACAAAATTTATTGATATTATAAACCAAACTTTCTGGGTAAGATTTAGACACATGATTTTGACTGTACCTTGAGGAAATTTATTAGCAAAATGGAGAAACTGTCCAAACCTATTATAAAGAATATTAGTAAAAAGATGAAACAATAGTTTAAATTTAGTTTTTCAGTGGAATCCTTCTGGAAAGAATTTTCTCAGTAAAAATTTATTAATAAGAAGAGCATGCTTGTGTAAAGTGTTCATATCCAAGGCACTATTCTCAACTTCAAAAGAGTAGAAGGAGAAAATTTCATAATCAGAAGGATTTGTATTTGCTTCTGGATCTGCTCCTGGACCTATGTTGAAGCTGTTTCTATTTGACATCTTAAAATTGTTGAGGCAGATTTATGAGCTTAAGCGGTTTGGTTTAAATGACTTTACAATGTTGTGTATAGTGAGGGATATTATTTAACATTTTCTGACAAGCAAACTGTTTTGAATTTTGTTGAGTGGTAGAGGAGTTGGTGACTTGGTGGACAAGCCCATTTTCATTACTTTAATTGTGTGATTTATTAGGATTTTAAGCTTTTTATAAATGTTTTAGTGTTATAGGACAGAATTAAAAGGATTTAGAATAAAAGGAGTTTAACAAAAGGACTTTGCAACAGGATTGAAATAGTTTTTATATTTGATGGATTTGGCTAGCCGCTTTTCATTTCAATCATCATGGTACATTCTGTTAAATGCTGTAGAACAGGTGTGTATAACGTCATTCTCTCTATTGTACATGCAAATAAACACACAATTTTATATATAAAAAGTTAATCCTCTACAATTTGGAGGATTACATTATAGGAGGGTGATGACTCCATTAGGCATCATGAAGAGTATGTGCTACTATTTATACTGCATTAAAGAGCAAGTTAATAGCTACACTATTTATGAGATTGTACAGTTTTTTATAATCATACTTGAAGAATTGTATTTAGGCAGACCATCCCCAATAAAATTATTTAAAGGAGGTTAAATTTGAACACTGTTTTCCTAACTCTGAAATTACAATATTCTGTATTGTGAGGGAGCATGCCTCAAATAAAATGTAGGGTTTGGTAATATTTCTTCATTATAAACTCTGTCTTTCAGGCTTACATGAATTTTTGTAGTAGGTATTTTTTTTTTTCTGTCGGTTGTGCGGCTTGAACTCTGGGCTTGGGCACTGTCCCTGCGCTCTTCAGCTCAAGGTGAGCGAGCTCTACCACTTGAGCCACAGCAGCACTTCCAAGGTATATTTTTGTCTAGGTGGGGTTTCTGTCTTTTGTTTTCAAAATTTGCTTTTATGAATATCTAGTTTAAGTTTTTAGGAAGTTCCTGTGGCCGACCTACCAGTAAAATCTGCAGGACCAGTTAGTAGAAAGTAATGGAGTTCTTCATTTAGCTTTGAGAAGAGCCAAACAATCAAGCCATTCTTGTTAGTATTAATCGCATTTTTTAAAACTTGAAGTTTCATTCATTAAAATATCAGATTGATATGTCATATACAGGCACAAACCATAGAGACCTTGTAAAGACCAGGAAGTAGAAGGAAACTGGTATTGTTAAAGGTGAAGGTGAAATATGTAGAATGAAGAATTGTACTTACATAGATGAAGTTCAATTATAATTAATTTGGAACGTAAATATTATCAGCGTTAGTCAAGTTAATTTTTAACTTGTGCTTGGATCAAAAGTCATATTGTTAATTGTGAAATTGGATTTATAGCTGGGGTAGCAACATGCAAACAGTATTAAAGTATGTTTGAACAAACATGTTCTTTTTACTTTACTGAGTTGCTTTCCTTTTGATCTTGAACATTCTTTGTGTGTGTGTGTGTGTGTGTGTGTGTGTGTGTGTGTGTGTGTGTGTGTGTGTATGTATGTGTGTGCACCTGTACTGTGGCTTGAACTCAAGGCTAGGGCTCTATCCCTTAGCTTGTTTCTGATAAAGCATGGCACTTTGTCACTTGAACCACAGCTCCACTTATTTTTTTAAATTTAGTTTTTGGTGATTAATTAAAGATAAAAGTCTCTCTTATTAGAGACAGGGTCTCATGGACTTTTCTTCCTAGGTGTTACCTTGAGCCACAATTCTTCACCTCTCAGCTCCTGAGTAGCTAGGATTAAAGATGTGAGCTATCAGTATCTATGTATCTTAAGCTACATTTACTTTACCTAATTTTAGGTCATTAGTTTGCAAGGGAGCATGTTGCTTTTGTTGTTGATCACATGGAGACTGAAAATTTTTTCTAATGTTAGTTTAGTGTGCTTAATGTTTATACTAGTTATTTTAATTTTTAACTTTCTTATTCACTTAACTGTTAAAAATTATTACTTTATAGTGAATGAATTTCTCCTGTATACACACATATTTTTGTATATATTGAAAGTATGTATATATATGTGTGTATATGTATAGATACACACACACACACACACACACACACACACACACACACACACACACACACACACACACACACACACACACACACACACACACACACACACACACACACACACACACACACACACACACACCACTGATGCTTGCACCCAGGGCATTGCATATGCTATACCACTTAGCACCACCAACCCTGTTGTAAGTATTTTGAAAATTGAAAATAATGTGAGATATACAAAAAAAACTTCTCAAAATTTACATTTTGTTTTATGTTCTCTAACAGGTGCTCAAAAGTGTGATAGTTTTGCAGAAAAAAGACCTCTTCTTGGTGTTTGTAAGAGTGCTGGATCTTCAGGGTAAGGAAATTCACTGAATCATCTATTACAGATTTGTTACATTCCAGATGGAGAAAATTGGTATCTTCAAATCTATGTAGATGTAATATTGTACTTTCATAGAGAAAAAAGGAATTAAGCGTTTTCTGTATCATGTTCCTAAATTTTAATTTCTGCCACTGTCTTTTCATATTCAGAATGATAGCAGAAGGCAAATAGCTCTTGGAAGCCAGCTCAGGTGGCTCACACCTGTAATCCTAACTCCTTAAGAGGCTGAGATTTGAAAATCTTGATTTGAAGCAGACCCTGGCAGAAAAGTTCTCTTAGACTCTCCTCCAGTTAACCACACAAAAAATGGAAGTGGTTTTGTGGCTCAAGTGTTATTAGCTTGTTACTCTTGAGCACAGAGGCTTAGGGACAGCTTCTAGGCCATGAGTTCAAACACCACTACCTACCAAAAAAAAAAAATCTAGGAGTAGATTACAATGTTTCCTTGTATTACTATTATTGTGCTGGGTTTCCATAGCTATTCAGGAGGCTGAGATCAGAGGATCAAGGAGAGCCAAATCCTCAAGACCTTTATATCCACTTAACCAAAAAAATTGCCAGAATTGGAGGTGGGCTCAGATTGGCACCAGTTATGAGCAAAAAAGCTGAGCAAAAATGCAAGGTCCGGAGTTTAGTTCCTAGCACTGGCGTCATGCTTGCAAGGCATGCACTCTACCGCTGAGCTACCTTCCCAGCCCCTATCCCTTATTATAATAGTATGAAGAAGTACTCTTTCATTTTCCATGATGTCAGATGTTTTCTTTACTTTCTCCATATGTGCCCATGTGCACATGCATGCACACACACATGCACACACACACATTTTAAAGAAAAGGCACCCAGGCCCTGGTGGCTCAAAACTGTAATCCTAGCTACTCAGGAAGCTGAGATCTGAGGATCTCCATTTAAAGCCAGCACAGGCAGGAAAGTTCGTGAGACTCTTTTCTCCAATTAAAACCAGAAGTGGTGCTGTGGCTTAAGTGGTAGAGAGCTCACCTTGAGCTGAAGAGCCCAGGGACAGCATCTAAGCCCAGAGTTCAAGCCCCACAACCGACCAAAAAAAAATATATATAAAAATGACTATTTTCATTGTGAGAAGTCTTTTTTAGTTTATGTGTTTCTACTATAGTAACTTAAACTGCAGATTGGAAGTTATTACTGTTTGTGACAGTGATGTTATTTCATCATTTAACAAAAATTTTTGTTAGTAGTAGCAAGTATTGATACTATAGCATGTATGTATTTGAGACTTGTACAAAATATTACATGGATATCTTTTATGCCTTTTTTTTTTTTTTGCCGGTCATGGTGCCTGAACTCTGGGTCGGGATGCTGTCCCTCAGCTCTTCAGCTCAAGGCTAACGCTCTACCACTGGAGCCACAGCTCCACTTCCGGCTTTTTCTGTTTATGTGGTGCTGAGGAATCGAACCCAGGGCCTCATGCTTGCAAGGCATGCACTCTTCCGCTGAGCTACCTTTCCAGCCCCTATCCCTATTATAATAGTATGAAGAAGTACTCTTTTCATATTAGAAAATCTAAGTCAAACAGTATAGTTACGGATTCAAACCCAAGCAGCCATATTCTTAATTCCATTCTGGCTACTTTTGTACTTTTGAGTTGGCCATAGACTAAGAGGAGGCATTATTATTTGCCATGATGTCAGATGTTTTCTTTACTTTCTCCATATATAAAAACAGATTAAAATTATTCTGAATGGCTTATATTGAATTAGTCAATCAAGTTGTTAGTGTTCCCTCCCCCGCTCTTTTCTTTGTTATGTTTACCTTCTAGTAACATCACAATGGTCTATATATGTCATATAATTTGCAGTTGGTGGAACAGCAGTCCAAGGTTCCTGTTTATGGCATCCTTTCAATGTAACTCTGTTTTCTTTAGGACAAGAATTTGAGATCTCAAATGGTTATAGTTAGTTCATCTCCTTTTCTTGAAATCTTAGCTCCAAGGAACATTTTACAAATGATACGGTTTTATTAGTAAGGCAGGTGAACAAAATGTGTATTGGGCTGGTATCTAATACTCTGCCAAATGCTTTCATTGTTTCTATTTCATTGAGATCATACGACTTTGGAAAGGGGAAAATGTGTTAATGATATGGTATGTTTAGATCATGAATTCTTGTTTGAAATACATTTCTCTCAGGTGTAAGTTTTTGCTTGGAAGTAGATATTTGTTAAGAGAATTTGCTATGTATAGAGGACCATGCCAGCTTTGGGCTAAGGATTTAAAAGCATGAAAATCAGATTCCTTTCTCCCAAGGAATAAGAATGTTACTGAAACCAAAAGTATGTAATGTAAAAAATAAACATGAGCCATGCACTGGTGGCTCATGCTTGTAATCCTAGCTACTCAGGAGGCTGAGATCTGAGGATCATGGTTTGAAACCAGGCCTGGGTAGGAAAGTTGGTGAGTCTCTTGTCTCCCATTAAGCACTAAAAGAGTCAGAAATAGAGCTGAGGCACAAGTGGTAGAGTGCTTGCCTTGAGCACAAATGCCCAGGGACAGCGCCCAAGCCCAGAGCTCAAGCCTTAGTCCTGGGGGAAAAACGTCAAAGTATTTTGAGAACTTAAGATTTTATTGTAATGTGTAAAGTTTTTCTTTAATAAACCCAATACTACCTTATGAAAGAAGGGATAAATTGGTTTGAAAAGAATTCCAGTTCTTTTTTTTTTTTAATCTGTCGTGGGGCTGTTAGACTCGAACTTGAGACCCCCCGAGCGACCCCCAAAGACCACGACCAATGCAAACACCAAAAGAGTTGTTTATTTGCAAGCTCGAGCCTGGACCCACAATCCTCACCTACACAGCGTGTCAGAGTTGTAGCCCCGACCACACGTTCAGTAGGGTTCTTATAGGGTTTCCAGCAAATAGGAGGAGACTGAAGATTTGCGGACTTCTACGTAATTGGTCAGCATTTTGAGGGCAAATTTCAGGGTAAGCTCATTGGTTAGGGGCATAATCATTTCCAGTAAGGGTAGGGGCTTTCCTACTTAGGAGTTACAGGATTGGTTAAATCATACATAGCAAGCAGATCATTCATTGGTTAGGATACATAAGACTAACCATAGGAATGCAGGCAACAATATATTTTTTAACTGTTTATGACCCTACAGCTGCTTTTTCCAGGAATTTGACCAACCTGTCCATTTTCCAGTAATTGGGGTCATGTTTCTCAACCCTTATCTAACTGGGTTGCGAGGGGTTATAATTGCAGTTTTGATTGTGGGTTTTCCGAGAACTTTTCTAAAAACTTTTTTTCCAATAACTGTTTTGTCCCTTAAGTTTAACCTGCAGTCAGTTTTACAGGAGATGATGACTTGCTTTTAGAATGGAGTTAGGTTAGTCCTTCAGGGCCTGAACTCTAGGCTTGGGTGCTGTCCCTCAGCTCTTCAGCTCAAGTCTAGCGCTGTACTACTTCTGCCTTTTTCTGCTTATTGGTGCTGAGAATCGAACCCAGGTCCTCAGGCATGCAAGGCAAACACTCTACCACTGAGCCATCTTCCCAGCCCCAAGGCCTCCTATTTTATCCTTAGAAGTTCACAAATTGTACTTAACCTGAAATAGAAAACCTAGGCATTGATAAAAGTAATTAATTTGACATTTATTTTGGCATAGGGTTGGTACTGGTACTTGAGCTCAGTGCCTTGAGCTTTCACTTGGCTTTTTGCTCATTGCTTGTGCTCTACCACTTGAACCACACTTCCAGTTTATCTTTTTTTTCCCTTCACTAGTTAATTGAAGATTTAGTTTTGAAGACTTTTCCTTCCTAGTCTAGCTTCAAATTTTGATGGTCCCGGGGCCTGAACTCTGGGCCTGGGCGCTGTCCCTCAGCTCTTCAACTCAAGGCTAGCGCTCTACCACTAGAGCCACAGTGCCATTTCCAGCTTTTTTTGTTTTGTTTTGTTTTGCTTATGTGGTGCTGAGGAATTGAAACCAGGGCTTCATGCATGAGAGGCAAGCGCTCTACCACTGAGCCAACTTCCCAGCCCTAGCTTCAAATTTTGATCCTCAAATGTCAGCCTTCTATGTGGGAATTCATGTGTGAGTCAGTGGCGCCCAGTTTAGCTTTTGAATTTTAAGAATCAGAAAAGTTATTTTTGTCAAATTGGTACATACTAAAATAATAAGTGACCATTAAACAATAAGCTGAAGTGCTCCTGGAGGGAACAAACCAATTTTAATAGCTAAATATGAGTAAGTATTTAATATCAAAATTAAAGGCTATTCATTAAATTGAACACAGTTATTTTCTCTTATTGTTATAAACCACCTATAGTGTCATCTTGTATGGGACAAAGACTGTGTAGACTGATATTTGGGATAACAGGGATGAGGCCAGGGCTTTGCACTGGGATATAGCTCTGCCACTGAGCTATATCCCAGCCAAAGCTGTAGTTTTTCAGGTGGTGGATAAACACAGTGTTTTGGTTCTGTAGTGGGAGTGAACAAGCTTTAAACTTTTGTCTAAAGTTTAATTATGTTTCATTAATTAGATAATAGCTTATATGGCTTTTCTTTGTCATGAAATATACTGTAGTCCTAACATGGATTTCCTTGCATGTTCAATTTTGGCTGATTTTTATTATGTTGTATTTGTGTAGTCTTATGGAATCACAGACTAGACTAGTACTACTTCTGCAGTCATCAGCCAAAATGAGCCATGCCATTATACCAAGTTTTTCTGCTCTCAGATAAGAGCTTTTCCAGTAGTTTCTTGCCATGCAATTCAAGTATCAAATCTTGTGCTTGACCTTCCCTCTCTTATGTTCCAGGCATTTTGTTGGTATTCTGGATCTTCTTAAAGCATGTACCTTGGCTTTTTTTTTTTTGTCGGTCGTGGGACTTGAACTCTGGGCCTGGGCACTGTCCCTCAGCTCTTCAGCTCAAGGCGAGCGCTCTACCACTTGAGCTACAGCGCCACTTCCGGTTTTCTGGTGGTTTATTGGAGATAGGA